CAGTGGCTGCTATGTGGGTATCTCAGTGCTATAACCGGTAGGAAGTACAATCAACGGGAGAGGGAGGAATCAAGAATGATTGTTGAGTGTTTCAGGTAGCTGAGATTTATTGTTTGCATTGACAAGAAATAGAGAACAGACTTGGGGACTGGAGGAGGGGAAACAGTGGGCTGTTTAAATTTGCTGTGCAGGAAAGAAATTCAGGTACAGGGGTCCTCAAGGCAGCTGAATATTTTCATCTGGACTTTGAGAGATCCTAGTCTACAGAATCAAATTTGAGTGTCCTCAGCACAGATTACCCTTTTGCTCTCCTTTGCCCTCAAAAATTTCGTCAAGTTGTCCGAGTTGGTATTAATGAAAATGTGATTAGAGGTGGTAACAAATAATTCTGTTTCATCTCATGTTTCATAAAATCAATCTCAGATAACATTCTTGTCTTTCAAAGTTTTCTAGAATAATTTATTTGATCTGTTTAACACAAACAGCAATATTATTTTCTGCTTGTAACTATTTCATGTCCTAGGGTGGTCTCTATACATTTTCTTTCATTTTCTAGTCAAAGGTACCTCCGTGAGGGGCAATTTAAGTTTGAAAAAGAACAATTAAAATCAGAGGGATAGGGCGTGCCGCTGCCTGCCTCCCACGTGCAAGGTCCTGAGTTCGATTCCAGGTACCACCAAAAAAAAAATCAAAATAGTATGGACACAGCTTTCAAAGTTGGTATGTTTGCTTGTATGGTCCTGCCACCTTTGTATTATCTCATCTTTTTCTCTCATCAACACTTAGTGTCTTTTTCTTTGGCCCATAATAAGCAAACAGATGTCTGTGGAACTTCTGAATGAAAAGTTAGGGAGAAATAAGTAGCATGAATTTTCTAATATACAATATACAGTACATTATATGCCACATGCTATTTCAAACACTGACTTTAGCTGTTAAACATTTTTCATGGGCTTTAAAGATCATGTCGTCCATTGGTCAATGTAGGCTGAGCATTCCTAATCTGAAAACCCCAAATCCAGAATGCTCTAGGTATTACATCAGTGCTCAATGAATTTCAGATTTCAAGACTCTGGATTTCAGATTTTCAGATTAGGGATGCTCAATGTGTAAAGTATGCAAGTTATTTCCAAATCCAAAATCCTCTTGAAGCCTGAAACACTTCTGGTCCCAAACATTTGAGATAAGGGATACTCACTCAACTTGTACTGTTATTTGAAAACAGTTCTTATCTTCCAACTACATTTCATAAACAGTATTCACTTTTGTCTCCCTCACAAGGGTGAATCATGCAAATGCAAACAAAGTATTTGTCTGATTATTACACTTCAACTCCTTCAAGCTTTGGAACATATAACACACTATAGTAATAAAACATTGGCATCTTTGAGCTTTACAGAGCAAGAATGAGAAAAGAATTACCAAATGACTTCATTATGAGCACCTTATCTTGAAATAAAGTATTACTTCAAAGTAAAAAAGGGATGTATATATTTCAGTCATCATATAAAGACAAGTACACTTGTGTTAAATGTCAGCCTTTTACCTAAAAGCAGCAGTGAAATTTCAAAGTTGGTTTTCTTGTGGGCTTTCAATTAGGGCAAAATGGGAAAGGAGCGATTAGAAGTGATTTGATTCAAGATCCTGACTCTGTATTTGCTGCAGAAACTCATTCAGGGCACCTATTTTGTAAATTTCTTTCAAGTCAAATAGAAAATTTCACATCTGGGTTGTTGCATGAAAGAATCAAGGCTACCACTGTTGTTTCATAGTTCAGTTTGTACTTACTTTCTCCTGTGCCTGGAAGAAAAGTCATTTCTTTTTCTAGGTGAATAAAAAAAACAAACAAACCCATTAACATGCTATAATCAGACAATTATAATTAGGGCTAAACAACTGTTATTTTATATAGACACATTTTGCAATGTCTTTTATGTTTGGGAAAGTGGCAAGATTCATGCTGTGTTTAAATCAAAATCTGAGAAAACTATTGCCCTGAAATGTGGCACTTCATTTTAATGGACTAGACAAATTATTTCATATCCTACCTCAGATTTTGACATATAGAGATGATAAATGCTTCTTGGGGATTTTCAAGGCAATTTTAGATTTATAAACTTAAAAGCATAAAAAGTTAAAGACCCACATCTGTTGGTCAAATATTTTCATCTCAAAAATTGTCTAACTCTGCATTGGAAACATCATACAAATTTCTCTGTATATTAGGTTAATAATCAGTATTCCAATTTATATCATACTATGCTAGTAGGCCAAGTTGGAAAATAGGCCAAGAATTGGACAAGAAACCAAGAGCTCTCAATTTCCTATGAGTTCTGACAGCTCACAAGGTAACGTTCTGGTGATACAGACTGAACGATCACACTTACCGTTGGGCGCACAAGTCCTCTGCAAACAACTGGTGCACTTTGCTGCTTACACTGTGCTCATCTGTTACACGTGTAGGGTATTTTTTAAGTATGTGTGGAGGCAAGCAGTTGCTCAAGCAGTTTTGCTGCCTTTGAAAGTATTGCACAGCTCATAGGGTTGTCTCAACGCCTACCCATTTCTTCCTTTTTGTCAAAATTGATACATTCATTCTCAGGCTGTACCTCATGCTACTTTTGATTTTTGTTTGTACGATTGTTTCCCCCATGGCTGTGACCATCTTATGTAGATATTAGAAAATCCCCTCCAGCTAATTTCAAAGTCTTGCTTAATCCAGACATACCTCAAAGCTTATACATTATTTAATAATGCTGAAGGTATTGTATTCCTTTTAATAAGTGTAACATTACTTGAAAGTTAAGCTTTTTTCTTTCTTGGTAGTGGTGATGCTCAGGATTACTCCTACTGAGCTATATTTTAGGCCTTTTTATTTTTGTTTTGAAACCATCTCACTTGAGTTGCCCAGATGGGACTTGAACTGGCATCCTCCTGTGTCAGCCTCTCTACTGGAATTACAGGCGTGCAGCACCACTACACCTGGCTTTTATCAGTATTTGTAAAGATGCTTGCAAAGCAAAATAATTTTTCTTAATCTTTTTTTTAACTTTTCTTAATCTTACACTTTTCAATAATATCCAAAGTTCTTGCTTCATACCGTTTCACTTGAAACATTTGAAATGATCACAGGCCAAAGTTATAACCCTAACCCAAATATATTCACCCAACTGTGTCATAGGCATCCAGCGGCTCCCCCCTTGAATGAAAAGTTCATTAAGGAATCCTCTAATAGTAAGGATACTGCTAGTGATAAATAATGACATCCACAAGTCAAATTGGAGCTGTTTTAATTAGAGAACTTTACATATAAATTTCCTAGTTAACCAGGTTCGTTATCCTAAAGTGGCCAAATGTGCAACATACTACAATTATTTCTGTCACATATGATCAGTAGGTAAAATCTCAGAAGACAACCCTGTTGCATACAAACCGTACTGTACTTTTCTGTACTTCACATGCCACACGTCTATCATGCTTTTTATTGCATTTATGCACTATGCAATTATAGTAAATAAGCAAAAAAATTAAAAACAGTAATTCATATATTTTATTATAAAAGTGTGCTTTATTATAAGGAAAATTTAAATATAACCAACAATACTGAAAATAATGTAACTGGCATTTGTAGCCTTGGTTCTTTATTAAACAGGCATTTATTTACTGTTCCATGACTAGTTAACAATCAGATTATGCAACAAAAGAGATTAACTTGAAAAAGTGAATAAAGAATACAGAATGAGGAACGAGAAATTTGGGTTTTTTGTTTGTTTGTGTTTTCCTTGTTTAACAGACATGGCTTTTAAAATCTAAAATAGTAAACAAGTCATCTTCATGTAGAGAGGCTCCCACATCCTACAAGAACGTTTTGGCAAAAATATTAAACAATTTTCTAAAAGGTGGCTGACGTTACAGTTTACATACTTTAATATATACATTATCCAATTAACATTCTAGCCATGTTTTCATGTACAAGTAGGACCATAAACATTCTCTAAGACTACAGAAGCCACAAAATAACTGTACCCATGTATATGCTTTTGAAACACATTTCCCAAAATGAAATTGCCCATTTAAAAGCAAACGACTAGTTGGAATTAACATCGGTAGACATTGGGTCATGGCCTAAGAATCAGTGTTATGTTTTGGTTGAATGCAAATGAATTCATCTTCTATGGCATCTTCTATAAGTATCTCAGTGGTCAATGAAAATCTAGTAAGTTTGGGTTTTCTGTACTTTAAAGTGTGAGTTGGAGTTAAAGCAGATGGCAAGGCTTGAGGGCTTATTTGCTGGACAGAAATTCCTTTTATTGTTGTATACGGTTTTGCTTATACACATTTATTCCTACCACCTTAGAGGAATTTTTTGGTGGGGAATAAACCTCACTGGCTGCTGATCAGTCTGGGGGTTGGCGACCTTTATGAGGAAGACCAGAATCCCACGGTGACAGATCTGTGCAAAGAACCAGATGACATAAGGGTCCTCACGTATATTTGGTAAAGGAGGGTTTTTCTTTAAGTGTAAGCTCTTGGGCTTTTAGAAGACAATAAAAAGCAGGTTTGACGAGTTTAAATAGCTTTAAAAACATTTTGTGACATTAAATGTCAAAATTAAACTTTTAAAGATAAAGAATATAAGAAGCTGCAAAATAAAAAAGGAAAGCAGAGATATATATACTTATTGAGGAAAAAAATGGATCAGTGACCCTTCATCTTTAAAAGACTCTTAGTCATCATAATAGCTAAACTGCCGGTCCTTAAAACCACTAGAATATGTTGGTTTACTGACGTTATGCCAAAGAAGTCAAAATGTAATTTATTGCAAAAATATAAAAAGTTTTAAAATTGCATATGATGTTTCATACCATTTCACTAATAGGCCAAGGCCAGCACACAACTTAATCAAGCCAGAAAAACTTTAAAATAAAAATGATTAAAATTTTACTGTATGGTGAGTTATAAAAAGAATGTGGTGCCATGCTGTGTAGCATGACTCCCTCTTACATGGGCAGGGTCACTAACTTGATACCCATCTGAATAAGTCAAACATACTGACTAACATAGTATCTTATAATTATCTTCTTAAACATGGGTACTTTCAATATATTACAATCATTTAAATAAAACTTTCAAATAATTTTGTGGAGTAGAAAGTCATTTTATCAATATGCTGAGCTTTTTATTAACTACTCATTAGAAAGTGATGTTAAAGCTTATTGACTATTAAATCACTACTGTTTACTGATACATTGTAAATGTAAAAAAAAGGAAAAAACCCGAAATCACAGAAAATGCTTGCCATCTACACAAACACGTTCTCAGTGACTAACCCTACTGTGGAATTCTGTCACTATAGGTCTTCTTGCTCTGTCCTTTTGCTTCATGCAGTGGGTTCAACAATATCCATGTTTGTTCCAAACAGGGCGACTAATTGTTCTTCATAGGTGGCAATGTTCCTTTTCATAATTTCCATGCAAGGTCCCAGAAGCCTTTCAAATGCTTGCACGTCCATGGCTACGAAAAGGAAAGAATAAATGAAAATATTCCTTGCAAAACTGCTGAATTTCCATTCCAGTATAATTTCTATGATGATACTGTAATTGTGACAGATTAATAATGCAAAAGTATTTTCAAGTAAATATTATAAAATACAAGAAAAAGCATCAAGATTAAAACACTCCACTTCAAAAAGGAAGCAGCTTGGGCCAGGGATTTGGTTCAGGTGCCACGCCTGCCTCCCGAGTGCCTGCGATGCAAGTGCAAAGTCCTGAATTTGATTCCCGGTACAAAAAAAAAAGAAGAAGCACTTAGAGCCTCCTCAGGCCACTCTGAGGTCCTCAGCAGCTGCAGTGCTAGGCTGGTGAGAGGTGCCTGATCAAAGCTGGGAAGGGACTGAAGGACAAGAACAGCAGAGCCTGGGGACTCTTAAAAGTAAATGGTGATGTTTCTATATCAGTAATACGAACCCCATAAAAGTGGGCCAGGGAGTGTTTCCTGTCTTGTTCTCAGAGTTTACAATGCCATGTCGCAAACACCATGCAACTCAAAGTAGCAGTCAATATTATAATGCTTTTGACCACTTCTATAATTATGTGCTAGATAATTATAGCTTGCCTGTCTTGTGTGTTTGAAAACTGAGTAAGATTCAGATGGAAAATATAATCATATTGTCTATCATAGAAATATAAATTAAAGTATACTTTTTGCCATTCAAATTTACAAGGTGAAAACGGCAGTGTTTGTAAGAATAAAATGAGCAATCCTGCACTACTAGAGGCATGTCCGTTATTACAAATAAAAGTGATTTGACAATATATATCAAAAGTCCTTTTACAATACTCACTTCTGAAAGCCATTTCTAAGGAAAAATTCAAATTATGGAAGTCATCTATATACAAAAACACAAACTGGAGCCAAAACCTGTAAAATATGTACCAGTGGGGAGCGACTGAATAATTCTATATATGTCAATGTATGTTTAACAGAATATTAAAATTTGATGTAACAAAATAAGAAAATCTCTAAGCTACAATGATGAGCAGAGCAATTTAGAAATCTGCTTAAAAACAGCAAAATATTCATACCAAAAAAAAACCAAAAAAGACGACAAAAAGTAACTCTAATACTGGAAATCACTAAGTGGTGGTGATGGTATGGGGGATTCTGTTTTTTCTATCATTTTCTGTATCTCTAAACTTTAATATGAATATGATTATTACAGAAAAGAGTAATAGAATTTCACTCATGTTACTTTTACTCTTACTAACAGTTCTCTACGCAAGGAAATTGCCTGTCAGCTCTGACTTCTCTTTCATCCAAGTGCATCACTTGATTAATACCCTTATTTAAAACCTTTTAAAAAGTGACTTCTCTAAGAAGTTAATTCTGACAATCCCTGCAAATCTAAAAAACACTGAAACTAAGTTTGTCTGTTGAACTGTGGATGAAGAACACGAATAGGCTTAGTCTAGAATCAGTTTTCTTAAAGAAAATGTCATCTATGCTGTCATTTCCTGAATTAAATTCTTCATTATTGAAGTGATTCCTTACATATGAAATCTCAGATACACAGAAATGTCTTCCAGCAGAAGCTGGCATTTCTGCCAAGCTCCCACAGTAGAAGAAAGTAGTAAAGAGCTGAACGACAAAGAACATGTGATTGTGCTTCAAAAAACCCTTTCAAGTTCCAGGGCCCAGCTGAGGGTGTACAGTACTTGCCCAGACATTCCAACTCCCTGAAGGGCTTAACAGAGAACTCCACAAAAATACTACTTCAGCCTTCTCTTAGGAGCAACACAGCGTGCTTACTTGACAAGTTATATATAAAACTTGGCAGAGCTCATTTCAATTATTAAAATAAGGTGTTATAAAAGAACTGAAATATGTGTATGTAAAAAATTTCAAAGAAGAAAATGGCTTCCACGAACTGATTTTATAGTGCAGTGAGTCCTAACCTCGCTGTATTTTGTAGGGACCACAACATTTGCGAACTCATTAAAATGATGTGCACAACACAAATACATAAAATGCAGACGTAACCACTGTGATCCCGACCTAAGCACTTGACGGTCCCGATGGCGTGCGCAGACGCAGCTCGGGGCTTGTTAGTCACCAGGGCAAGCTCTCCGAAGTACTGTCCCCGAGCGCACCGAGCGACTTCTACCGCACCGTTCTCTTCCACTTCTGATTTACCCTAACAGATTAAGTAAAAATGTTAATTTTTACTCAGCTCATTTTATTTTAAAAATAAAAATTAACTTTGGTATAAAAATAAAAAAATCTATTATGTGCCTTGCTATTATTATGTGGATTTTTTAAGGACTTAAGAATGCTTACCTTTCTTTTCATAGTAATTTTCACTTCTCCAGATTCTACAATGAAAAAAGAATCAGCCAAATCTCCCTATCAGAGTAAAACAACAAAAACAGAATGAAATGCAAGTTTATCTGACAGACATCTTGTAATCAGTCTAACCCCATGCACAGAGATTTGCCCAAAAAGTGAAGTCCATGGAAACAGTTTACTTCCTTTTCTGATTTCAGATATCATGGGTGATAATTACATAGGAACAGTTTCACTGTTTGAAATAATGATTTTATATTATACCAGGCCTCTGCTAGAAGCCACAAAATAAGGCAAATCACACAGAGGCGACAGTCTCCCCCAAATTTCATCCTGACCAGCAGCACACAGAGTTAGAAATGGCAACACTGCTGTCGCCCAGAGGTCCCCGTGGTCAGCAGGAACGCAGGGCTCACACCGTGTCCTGAAGTAAGAAGCACTGGCTCAGCGATCCGGATAACCACAGACCCGGAAAGAGCAGGAGGCACAGGTGTGAAGTGCAGCTGGGACGATCCACCTCTGGGCCTCAGAAAACAGTTCTGAAATTCTAAAAACTGATGGCACTTCTGACTACATACCCAGTATTTTTTCCTTAATTTTGCCTTTCAATGAACTCTGCCCTGATTTCCAAAGATGCCTTCTGAATTAATATAGTACAGAAGAGTAATAGATTTTTTTAAACTTAGTTTGTCAAAGTGATTGTGCAGAAACACAGGTTTTTAAAAACTTCTGTGATTATATGACAATGAATGTTGAATCTAGATTTTTATAATATAGAGCAGATACATGATTATAAAGGCTTAAAAGCAAACTACAAATGTAACAGCATCCTTAATCAGTCCCAGGGGTGGCATACCTCCTCCTCTGTGCAAGCGCTGGAACTGGGCTTGCACATGCTCAGCCGTGTATTCTACCACTGAGCTATGGCTCTGAGCCCCTCTATTTTATATCATTTTGGTAAGAGCTTCACAGTAAATTTGCAAGTGTTACAAGTCATAGCAGGTCTATCAGCTTTTGTGTAAACGTGGTCCACATGTATGTAAAATTAGTGAAATCCAAGTAAAGTCTGCATTGTGCCGGGGTCTGAGACAAACTGGGTGAAGAGTACATGGAACCTCTTAGTGCTATTTTTGCAACATCTTATAAACTTGTACTTTAAAATCAGAAGCTTTCAAAAAGCAGTTAATGGCTAGGGGGTATAGCTCAGTGGTAGCACATGTGCTTAGCATTGTGAGGACCAACCGACAAACAAGCACTTAAACGTGCTTTGTTATTTACTTGTTTATCAAGTAGGACCTTAGCCTTGCTCTCCATTCTGACTCCACTTTTTCCTAATCTCTGACTGCTCTAA